ATTCAGGACAGAGTGCAAAAAGATTGACTGAGAATTGCTGGCTGTTCAGGGTTTCTAAGCAAATAGTAAGGGGTTTTAGGACTTGGGCACCTTTAAGCTAACCCCTGAGCTCTTGAGGCCCTTAAGCTCTGACTGATCTGATGAAGAATAAGTAAATGCTAACTGCTTTAAAATAACTATTTTAACTTTTGAGACCTAAAATTAGGAATTTTGCCCCCAAAACTTGACATTAAAGAGGGTCCCTAAACATACCCACAGATCCTGAATTAGCCCCAGAACTTGACATTAAACCGGGTCCCCATGCATAAGAGGGTCCAACATTAATGGAAAAGAAAATCAAAACTACTATGATGGGTTATATCGGGTTTGAGGGTCTTTAGGGTTCAAGGCTTTGTGGTTTAGGAACTCAAGCTTTTTTAAGCTGGTGGGTCCAGCTTTTGCAGTCCAAAGCAATCAGTTTAGCACTAAGACTGAGAAGTATCATATCTTGGGCGGGCTCCCAGGGAGGGAGCTTCAAGTTCAAGACGTTCGCATATTTTCCTCTTTACATTCCCCTGGACCCTCTCCGATAGGGCTACTTGCTTACCTGCGTTGCTGGTAGATCACTTAAACTGAGCTACTACAACAGGGACCCTGTTTTGTCTACTGTTGACGCATATTACCGTGACTTAACTTAGGCTAAGCTCCTGAACGGCAAATCCAACCCAGTAGGATGGAAGTCCTCTCACCAGGCGTTGGTAAGGCGCCGCCTCAGGCGGAGCGGTACGCCCAGGGCCTCAACAAACCAAAATGGCCAATCTCCTGCCGCTAGCGTTCAGGGGTTGGCAATTCCATGGCACCACAGGGACAAATTGCAAACATCATGGAGGTGTTCTTCACAGGTTGCACGGATTTCAATTGCTACTCAGTCCTACACATGTTCAGCTTTCAAAATTCTACGGCCTCCTAAGCGTAGATTGCAAAGTCATGCAACGACACAAAAACTTGAGCAATTGTTGTTCATGCTTCATGGCCGTAGCATGTATATGGAAGTGCGAAGAAGAATCGGCCGTGTTTCAGACATAAGCGTCAAGGGACTACGGGACGACGAGGGACTGTGAGGAGTGTTTACGCGGGTTGCCCCTTACTACTTGGCATGCCTGTATGGTAGAGGACAAGATTATGGCCAGCTACTAGGGTCTGGGGCCTCGTTGCTTACTAGTACCTGATTCTAAGCCCTAAAACCTAAACCCTAAACCCGAACCCCCTTCCCCCTCCCCCTCCCCACCACAATAACCCTGCCTTTGCCGCAGGAGGCCAGCGGCGAAAGCAAAAGAGCTGGAGGATCGCCTGGGCATCTGCCCAAAGTTACAGTAAGTCTACATATGAACCATAATCTAGACTCGTATGTAGTTACAGGTTTGGGGTTTAAGTTACAGTAAGAAAATGGAAACTACTGGAGTATAATAGGGTATATATAGGGGCTGTACGGGGAATAATGGAAAAGAACACGGAAAATACTACATTATGATCGGGTGTAGATATAGGGGCTACATAGGTCTACATATGAACCAGAGGATTATATGGGGGATTACTACAAGCGTTAATCAGGGGGAATCTAGGAGTTTAGACAATGGCTCATATTGAAACCCACATGCTCAGAATCTATTACTCCGGAAATCCTTGGTGTAAGACCCCCTTGAAAACTGGCCACTTCGGCGCAGCTGTAACAGAATCCCAGACCCCCTGGAGGATCCAAAGAATGGAAACCCACCCCCAAGATGAACCTAGTACGAGATTGGGGAAACTTGGGGATTATCAGGGGCTCCATTGTTGGGATCCTTTAGGGGGTCTGGATTCAGATGATTCTCAAGCCTCACCGTCGAGTCAAGCACGACGGGATTCTACCTCTATTCGCGCATCACCCTTTCATTCCGACTGCTAAAAAAAGGCGAGCCATGAATATAGATAGTGATAGGGATCCCAGTCCCCTACGTATCAGTAATAAGTGTACCTCAACATACTGTATCATCTAGCATGTCTTCAGTAAGACAGGAAGCAAAAGGAACAAAAGCCTGTCTTTGGCCTGGACCCATTTGACACCTGTGTTTCAATCTCTGGCCTTCCCCAAAAGGACACCGCATATACAACCTCCGATATTCCTAAATTTGACTACCTAAACTCCTCCTGGACTCCTCCTTCCCAGACCCCCTATATCCAAAAGACGGAACCCCCTAATCATCCCCTAGTTTCCCCAATGTTAGTAATTGGTTCATATCGGGGGGGTCCATTTTTTGGATCCTTAAACCCTAAACCCTATTTTTTGGATCCTTTAGAGGGTCTGGGTTAGGAGGGAACAATCAACGGAGCCCAGCCAGGCCGCAGTGCCTCTTCAGCAGCATTGCAAGAAGCCTCATCCCTAAACCCCCTAAACCCTAGGCTTTAATCTCGGCTTGGAGGGTCATGGGGACTTAGTAAGTAGTTTAGTAATGGTAATAATGGGGGTTATTATATGGCTTATAGGGGTTATTGACCTACTTACTAAGTCCCCTGACCCTCCAAGTGGACAACAGAAACTATCCCTCAACCCTATTCCCTACCTCATGTTCTTGCAGCCGCGGCACGGACACCTGGGTGCCGTCGAAGGCGGGGCGTGCTCCGCCCCTGAAGTCTTACTCATGCTTCATTGGGCAACATGGGATGAACATTGTATTGCAAGGATGTGTATTCTGGGAAATTGAGTGGGGGATCACTACAGGGGTTTATAATGTACCCCAAGCCATATTGTATATGTACTTAAGGGGGACTATAAATAGGATTCCAGCATGGTACAGTCAACAGGGATTCACGCTGCTCTGCTTGCTGGGCTGCTGATGGGGAACTTGAATTAAGTTACCATAGTATGAGCATATAGTAAATAGCGGGCCTTCTGCAATCTCCTTGTTGTAGTAAATCAAAAGATGTTCCTTAACAGAATGGGAAAGCCAGCCAAGTTAAAGAGCATTCGACGCGAGGCAATACATCCAACTGGCCTCTTCGACGTCCGCTGCAGCCTGAGGGCGCGGGCTTCACCCAAAAATTCCAACCGAAGTGTCACGAATCTATGCCATTTTTTGCTTTAGGGTCTAGAGCTTGTGGTTTGGGGCATTGAAGGAGATAGGGATTGGGGTTGAAGTTTGCGTGCTGAAAAATGCAAGCTAGCACCGTTTAGCATATTGACCGTCTGGCACGCCTTGGTGCTGGTTCCGGAGCGCTTGCACAGCACAACGGCCAGCAGTGCCGTGGCGACCTGATTATCAGCTTCCAGATGTTCAACATGCACTTCGCGTCCAAGGCGGGATTTTGGGGATGTAAGGAATGCATTCTGGCGGTGGCCCATCTTTGCTCTGGCCCCTTGTATTGCAAAGTCTTTGAAGTACATGGGGACTTCCTATGCATTTGGGCCCGGGCCTTCCAAAGACCTGTCAGCTGCAAACCGATTCAGAGGGCGAACTGCCTAGCATTGCTTGACATTGGGACCTACTACAGCAAAAACACCACCTCAATTGGCTGTAAAAGGGCCTAACTAACTGGATAGGGCTTTGGGAAGATCAAGCCATATACATATGAGCCATGTTCTAAACTCCTAGTATCCCCCTTAATTAATAACCCCTATAGTAGTCCCCTATATAAAATCCCCCAGATCACCCCATTAAGGAGTTCAGACTATAGCTCATATGAGAACTGTTAAAACCAATGATGGTAATTATTCAGATTTACACTTGGCCGTTGATCAAAGATAATGTCGGCCCCGATTCTGATAGCCCTGCTCCCGCTTACAACAAACATGCCCAGTACTTTACGTCAGAGGCCTCAAATGCTCAATATTATGGCTTTGAAGAGCAAGGAAAAACCTGACGCAGCACGCCCATGATCCTAGATATGCCTAAAACATCCCAACATAAGCCTACATATCAGCTACGCAAGGGGAACCAAATGTTGGGCGAAATCCTTAGAAGGAAAGCCCTGAAAATTCAATGCCATGCTGCCAGGACGTTCCGCTGGCCTTGGGGCAGCTCCTGGACATACAGGGAAGGGGGTTTAGGGTTGAGGCTTTCGGGTGTAGGGTTTAGGGTTGTATGCTTGGAGGTACAGGGCAACTGTGACCCGATTAAAGCATAACTCGTACTAACTGGTGCTTATGACTCAGTTATAAATGCATTAGGGGACTTAAGGGTGTGTAGCTGGGTTATATAAGCGGGTTAGGATGAGAGCCAACATCGAAGTAGGGTATATAGGGCATAGGGACTATAGAAGGGTTACATTGGGGGTATATGGGGCTCTATAGGGGTTATGTAATGTAAGGGATATGATATATGGGGAGATATCGTGCTTTGCCATCTGAAAATCAGGGGTCCCTTTTGAAGGGAACTCCAGTAGTGTAGCTGCCTGCAAAATTACTGATGTTAGTCATGAGGACCCCAAACCCTAAAACCTAATCCCCAAACTCTAACTTTTTCCAACAAGCACACTACTCTCCAAAACCCTTTCTAATCGTTCAGGGAAGCTGAGCGCACTGGGGCATTGTCGTTACAGGGATCACTGCTTCAGATTTCGCATCCCAAGATTTCAGGGCTTTTTGGAATCTCTTTGTCACAGCATGCCAAGGATGCGCATCATACTTAGCTGGTCGATTTAAACCCTACACACAGTGGCCATACCACTGAACGTCCAGCCTGCCAGAAGAACCTGGCCTATGCTGATGCAAACTCCTTAAGGGGCTTAGTAGGGACCAAAGGAATATATCTTATGGGGATTATATATGGATCATATTCTAACACACCAGTAAGACTCCTAAGCTAGAAACAAATCTGCTCTACCTCGACCCTCCCATGCGGGGGCTCCTGGTGCCAGGCCGCGACAAGAGCTGCAACTGCAACTGCGGCCAGGGCCAATCGCTGGGCCATGGCTGCGGGAGGAGAGCCTAAACCTCACAGGATGAAGGGCCTAATTTAAAGCCTAACAACACCCTAAACCCCACAAGCAATGACATACGAAAACAGCTTAGATTCTGGGGGTAGAATAGAATGTTTGACAGGGTGACGGGCCCTGAAATTCCAAAGTGACGATCTTAAGGGACCAACCTTGCAGCACAGGATCCCCCACTCCACTGTCTCGACTCCCGCAAGCTGCAGCTGCATGACCAAAGTGTCAACATCACGGACTTGAAGATGGGTTTCGGGTTTAGGAAGCCATGTCCTTCACCAAATTCCAGTTAGATCTGGATTCACAGTGAAACAGACCGCTTGCCCATCAAAAAGCTGGAACCTCAAAACGCCTGAACTGCAATCAAAAGGCTTGCCCAGCCTCACGTCCCCATGCGATGACTACCACAAACGAACAGGTGCAAATCATGGACGAGTACGAGCAAATGCAGCTCTGCGGTGAAGCTCATACGGGGGCCGTCCAGCATACTGCGACTATAGTCCCCCTTAAGTAGATAGAATATCGAACCGGCCAATATCATAACAAGATCCCCATGTATCCCGTGTTCTATCGACTTAAGGGGGTCTATAGATATTGCGGAGAAATCCTAGTTATTGGGGCGTGGACTTCTCATAGTTCTACAAGTGGAGCAGCTGAGAGCCGGTGCCAGCAGGAGTCCAGCCGACCGCTCAGCGCCTCCTGCATCTCGGTGAAGTCCTCGGACCGTCATGCAACAATCTATCGAACACACAACCTTTGTTGCAACCATGACTGCCATTACTGACACCTTTTGTACTGATGCTGTACTTCTATCGTTGTTGACACGATCATGGAAAGCACAACTCCTCCTACTACTACCACCGAACGTACTAGCAGCACTGGCACTGCTCTTAGCAGGACGACTTGGTTGTTCGCCTGAATTACCCTTCCAAAGTAAAGGTAACCAGTATACCCATAACCTCAGTCCTTGAAATCCAAACCCTGCTAAACCTCAAAGCAAGAACCCATACCTTAGACCCTTCAACCTACACTCACACGAAATATTTGAAAAAATAAACACTCCTCACCCTACACCTTTCCCCCTGAAGGCTAACGACTCAAGCACTGGGCCGGCCTCGTCCAGTCGCCGCTGCTCCTCCTCCAGGGTCCTCTGAGCCTCCTGGACCCAGGCTGCCTCGTGCTTCACGCAGGTTTGGAGTTTGGGGGGGTTTGGGGGGGTTTCGGGCTTATGGTTTGAGGTTTGGGGTTTAGGGTGTAGGGCTTAGGTTTCGGGATGTGGGAGTTGGGTTTCAGTGCTTGGGGGTCTAGCTCACGAGCAACTCGAGCAACTCGTGCAGGCTTTTTGGGGACGAGGGCGAAACCCTTGAAACGAAGCCCTGAGCCTTGCTAAACCTACACCCAAAATATCATGCCCTGTTTCCTGTAGACTATACCCGAAAAACTCGAATATTCTATGAAACTCTAAACTGAAAACGTTGAAAGTAAAATGTTGAGGGTTTAGGCTGCTGCTGGTGCTCTCTTTCACTAGGGCGCCTCGGCCTGGTCATCTTGCGTGCTTCTCCGAGCCTTGAACCCTACATCCTACCGCCCGAATCCTTGAAACACACTAGACCTATATCAAAGTCTCGTTTTTAATGTTTCCTCTGGGTGCTACTATCATAGAAATGAAGCATGAACCCTAAGGAGCCGACGGTAAACCCTAAAATTTAGATCCGAGACCCTGAACCCCAATGAAATCCTGACGCGGTTTAGGGTTTAGGGTTTAGGGTTTGGGGTTTAGGGTTTGGGGTTTAGGGTCTAGACTACCCCAGGACCAAACCATCCATCTCTCGCAACTCAGCACGCAGCCTTCTCGCGGCTGAAGGCTTCCTCCTGCTTTGACAGCTTCTCCTGGCGTGGCACACGAAGAAGGATTTTAGCGTCTACCTAGCCCTCCCTAGTCCCAATAGCCATGGCCCCGTTTACCCCAAGTAATCCAAAAGGGTTGTCAAAGCTATTGTTTGGGAGGTCTAGGTAGTGCTTAGGGTCTGGGGCGTAAGAGTTAAGAGTGCAGACTTTGGGGTTTTGCAGCTCAGTGTCTGGGGTTCACGGCTTGGGGTTTTCAATTTTGAGCTTAGGGTTCAGGTCGTACTATGCTCACGGTTCTGAGGCCACCACCATAGCAGTGACATGGTGGTAGTGGTGACAATTGTCGCACAACGATGCCGTCATATACCGGTGATGGCAGGGTTGTTCTCCTAGGTTTTTCTCCAAGCTGCTCATTTCCAAGTATCCTTGCTTCTGCGCACCTTCTCTGCTACTGCGTGCTGTTGCGACACAGCACAAACAACACTCTCTTCTCCGAATAGGATTGGGGTTCAGGGTTCCAGGATGGGATAAATTTGGTAAGGGTTAAGAGTACTGGGAGTATATAGGTATTATATTCCCTTATTCCCTATTTCCCACCAGTACGGAAAGGGTGTGTAGTCTGCAAAAGACGCTTCTCAAGCTCCAGAAATCAAAAAATGAGCCTTCCCAGAAGTGGGTTTAAGGGTTTAGGGTTTAGGTTACGGTTTGAGATTTAGTGATCCCTTTTTGAAGCCCCAAAACCCAGGATCATAGTTTACAATAGCTGGGGTAGAAACCCTGGAACCCATTCTTGCAACACTCCAAGTTCCTTCGCCCTAAGTCCTAATCCCGAAGCCCCAGAGCCTCTAAACCCCATAACTTACTGGCAGTTAGGAGGGAATAAGGGAATACAACCCCCATCCAACCCCTATATGTAACATTCACGTCTTCCCTAACCCCAAGCCCCAAACCCTGTACTTATATATGTCGATATATTTCCCTGAACCCTAAACCCTTATTGATATTATATTCCGCAAGTATATAGACCCTTCAGGCTCGGAAATTTGAGTTCGAGCCACCATGTCTCCCAGCCGCTGCTGCGTCAGCGTGGACAGCTCCTAGGCAGGGTGAAACAGGGTAGGGATAGATTTAGGGTTTAGGATTTAGGGTTAGGGTTTAGGCAGGGTCTGCTTAGGATTGGAGGCTAAGGATTGAAGGCTTTTTGCTCTAGGGCGTAGGTTGCGGATTAGCATCTCTGATTATGGCAAGTGCAGAGGACCTGCTTCACATGGGCTGTCGTGAAGAGGGCAAGGGCCTCAACCCACGTTATTTCGTCCTACCGTTGTAAAAATCATTGACGAAACTATATAGTCCCCCTGAAGTAGATAGAATGTACATGAGGACTTTATTGAAAAAACACAAAGCCATATTCTATCTACTTAAGGGGGAGGTTAACATTGCTGCAGCTGGTAGCCCAAACATGGGTCACGACAAGGATTGCACTAATGAGATGCCTGCCACTAAAGGCATCGTAGCAGCAAGAAGATGAACGCGTAGCAGCAACACTAGCAGTAGAGATGTATCTTCAGCCGTATACTCTCTTCAATTACTGTTTTACACGATGTCAAACACCCAAAACTCCAACAAACTGCTTTCCCAAAACCCGACAACCCGAACCCCCAAACCCTAGACCCTAAACCCCAACCCCCTCACAACCCCTAAACCCTAAACCCTAGACCCTAAACCTCAAGTCCCTGAAACCCCTAAACCCTCAACCCGAATTCCCTGAAACCGCCAGCAAAAGTTGTTGGCTAAGAGGGCAGCCTCAGTTTGCTTCTGGACCTCCTCAACAAGACGCCGATTCGTCGCCTCGAGGATTTAAGTTTAGGGTTTAGGGTTCGACTATTGTTAGTGTTACTACTACTACTACTATGCTTATTACGATTATGAATTCTACTGTACCTACTGTCGTTACTATCATCATGATCATCACTACTAATACGTCACTGGTTTGGAGTTGTGGGGGTTGGGGTTTGGTGTTCGGGGCTTGGTGCTTGCCACTCTGATCAGAACTTCGGCTTCTGAAGAAGCAACAAGAGCAAGATCCCAATCCACAAACCCTGACCCTTAACCCTAATTATACCCTTCTCCTCCTTAAACTCTACACCTTAATCCCTGAACCCTGATCCCTGAAACCAAAACCGTAAACTTCAATCCCTAAACCCTACTCCTGCGGGGCGGCTTAAGGGGGGCACCTGCCTTGAGCGAGCGAAGGGTGTTGTGGAGCTCTTCATTGGCGTCAGCCTTGGCACGGATTACAGAGCGCTTTCTTTCAAGTGCCGAGACTTGGATAAAGACTTCAAAATCAGTATATGGCCATAGCGGGATTACAAAGTCCTGTATGGCCTGCTGTCAAAACTCTGTATGGAGGATCGACAATTTGACACGTTGTTTTGGCCTTGCATCATCTCACGCGAAGGGCGTGTTTACGAGAGCAGCAATCATTCCAGCACCGTGGAACAGTCACGTACAATAGCTACACTTACAGCGCAGTAAATTCAGCAATGGTGGACATCCCAGAGGGTGGGGCGACATCAAAGCTGTACCCAGGCCCCCAAAGGCATCTAGAAATTAGATCCCCTCGTTTCTATGAGGGAGTGTATAGGGATTAAATGCTATCCCTGTTGAGTTTACATAGTGGATCTGGCTGGTAGGCTCCCAGGCTAGGTAGGGCTAAAAGGGCTCTGCAGATCGACGAGCTTCTCAAGCAATCAATCCCCTGCCCTGATGATCAACCATCCATGCCTGCAGCAAGCAACATTCCCAATGCAGTATATAGGGTTCAGGGTTAGGGTTCAGAGGATTAGGGTTTAGGATTTAGGGTTCAGGGTTTAGGGTTCGGAGTTTAGGGTTCAGGGTTAGGGTTTAGTGCTTAGGGTTCAGGAATTGTAGGGTGTAGGGGGATGGGCAGGTGGGGGCATGCTCGGAGGGGCATTATGCCTTGGCCTCAGCCAATGCAACTTGTTCAGAAGGAACATGAATTTCTGCTGTTCTTACATCTATTATGGATGTCTTTATTGTTGTCATACATTGATACTAGTACTATTTTGAATACTTTTATGGTTGCTATCAATATTACCATGCCCATCACCACTATTAGGGGACCGCAAAGGAGGCAGCATCCTGCTCCGCCAAACCTCAAATATCATTTTTTCCATATTATTCCGATTATAATAGCCAAAAATCGAAAATATTTTGGAGGCCCCTATAGTACTGGGAGCCGAGTATAGACACCCCTGTTCGCTTGACCGAGCGCCAGTCGACGCGCAGCATCTCGTCATTGAGGTCCTGAAAACAGTCTCAGGACCACAACACCGAAAAAGAACGCGGGAGTCTGGAGCTGGCTAGCTGGAATTCTAGGCAAAGCCAAAACATGTAATGTAACGCGCTAAACAGTTGAAAAGATGTGTCCAAAGTTGCTTGGGGCTAATGGAATGCTATACTTTGAGCCCAAAAGAAATCAAGACTGTCCTGCAGCGGACTCACAGCGAGGAGGCCAAACAAAGGGACGCATGCTATACTGTGGAGCGTTCATACCCCAGATAGACCCCAATACACTTCACTCCCTATCCTTGGGTTTAGGGTTTCATAATTCTGGAGCTCCCATGTCCCGTTCGTTTGCTCTCGCGGAATTTTCACAGTAGTTCATGGCTACCAAAATGGGGAGTCAAATGGAAGAGAAAACGGGAAAAAATGGAACTTGCTGCTATATAGATAAGTCTATAGAGGTGGTATAGGAATTGAAATTGAGGAACTTGCATTGGGTGATCAACATACGAGTAAGTATTAGGTGGACCCCCCCGCCCAGTAATAGTGACTTGAAGGGATAATGAGGATTATCTTCAGGTCCTATTATATTCCTATTATTTCACTATTGCAGGGCGCGGGGTCCTCGCAGACCTTCAAACATCAGGCCAAAAACACCAGGAATCAGGAAACCGGAAGCCATAGGGCTTCAGGGTGCAGGGTCCAGAGTGCTTCGGGTTTAGGTTCTAGGGTGTAGAGTTTATCTTAAGGTGTAGGGCGAAGGGGTTAAGGGTTCAGCCTGCAAGGGTACCAAGGGCGTCCATATGCCCACAAGCCCAGGGTTTAGGGTTTAAGGGTTTAGGGTTTTGGGGGATAGCCCGGCTCGCAGAACCCAGACCCATCCGCAAACCTGAAAAAGCCCAGGGCATGAAGTCACACGAAACATGATAAGCTCAGGACCTGGGATGGGAAACCACCATCAAACGCTTTGTTGATGAGTGTAAGACTTAGCCCACATTTCTCTGGTAAGAAAAAAGGATCCGTTTCGCATAAATATGAAGAATCCCATACCCCCAAAATACAAAGGATCCTGGTTCTTCAACAAGAGAGAAGGTAGCCAAACTACTTGGCAGTACCTTTTTGCTCTTGCTGATGGTTGGTAAGGAACAAAAAAACAAGAAGAAAACGGAGGCTACTGTATTTTTGTTGGTGATTATAAACGCCACTATACATCTGCTAACCTTTGGCTAGCTAGGAATGAAGGAATGGATCCATATAGTAGTCCCTATATAACCCATCATCGTCGTTTCCATTTTCCTTTCCATTCCAACCCTAAACCCTATATAACCCCATTTCAGTAATTTCCATGTTCTATTCCGTTCCTCCATTCCCTCCTCACCACCAAGACGTGTTGCGATGCCACAGAGGTCCTTGCAGCGCTTCTGAGTCTCGTTCAGGCTGTTCCGCAAAACCTGAAAGAGATTCGGTAGTTTCCTTAGGGTTTTGGGTTTTGGGTACTTTCTCTGAATGGGGGGACCCCAATATAGACCCCAAAACGTTATCATCCTTACGATGGGGACCCCCAGAAGTACCCCTTGTTTTGGGAAACCACCATTGTCCAGACCCTTCAAGTAATGAAGCTTAGGATTTAGGATTTAATGGTTCTCTCCAGAGCAGCCTCGTAGGTGCCATCAGCAGGAGCCGTTTCCAGCCTTGCGGCAGCAATGGTGGCAACGGAGGGCTTTAAACTGAAGCCCATCCAGCAATGATTTGTCTTTACTGTCCACACGAAGGAAGCCTTCTTGATGCCAAAAGGAGCTGAGGTTTGGGCAGGTCACCACTCTCGGCCAACTTGGCCCGGAGGTCTACATCCAGCGCCTCAAGCAGTCCCTAAAGCCTCTCAAACCTAAGCCTCTGACCGGATAAGCAGCTCCGCACAGAAGCTCTACTAAGATTAGAACTTTAGCTGTCTCGCCGAAAAGCATAGTCACTAAAGAGTAACTTCAGATCTGATTCAAATCCAAACCACGAAAAGGCCCGAAAGCAGGGGCCATCATAGGGCCTGGATGGCAGAGGCGAGTCTGTCAAAGCTGACATCAGGACCTGACATGGCAGGGTTTAGGGTCCACAGCTTAAGGCTTCAGGCTTAGTAGAGACTTTGACTGTGACGAATACCATTCCTACAACTGCAACATGGTGGATTGATTCTGAAACTGCCTAGAGGAACCTGCAAAACATTGGACGTCGGTGGTGCAATGGTAGGCTGACAGCATGCAAACGCACAAGAAAAGCCTGCTTGACACTCAAAACACATAGCCCCTAAACCCTAAACCCTAAAGACACCCAAAACACATAGCGCTGTAGACGCCCAGGAAGGAGCCTTCAGTTGAATGCGCTTGATGTCCGCTTGATGGTCTGCCCCAGACAGCCGTGTAGATTCTATACTTCTGAAACAATTCATGTGCTCTTATCTAACCTTGCACCTTTGACCCAGAATTCTACCCCTATGCCCTAGACCAGTCTCTAGATGCCAAGCAGCGATCAAAATTCCTAATTTGCAAGAAACTAGTAAGAGTTGATGACAAGTTCACTTCAAAAGAAACAACTTGACCTCACCGGGAAGGGGATTACCACAAATTAGGGTCCTCCCATGAACCACAAAACATGAAATCATCCTTACTTGGAGACTTACTAGCTAGGTTAGTAGCCTTCAAAAGCCATATAATGACCTCACTTATCCCCAGTTTGCTAAGTCCCCGTGATCCTAAACCCCAAATCCTGAAGCCATTGACCCTCCGAGTATGGTGAGGAAGGCCCGGGTTCCGCACCGCTGAGGACGGAATTGAGCCGCAGTACGTGGCCTGGGAGTCAGGGTTTAGGGTTTAGGGTTTGGGGTCTAGGTTTAGGGTTTAGGGTTTAGGGCTTAGGCTTTATGGTGCTGTAATTGGTAATGAGGGAAGATCTCTATGTACAGTTTAATTACGGTGTCGGGTTTAGGGTTGGTAGGGTATGTATCTGATGTGATATAGGGATGATACAGGGATTGCATGCCCTTGTTCCCCACTAACCACCAGTAAGTCTAGGATTTAGGACTTCAGGTTTTCAGGATTCGCTTTAAGGTTCAAGGTTCAGTGTATTGGGATTTGGGATTCAGGGTTTTAGGGGCTTAAGGCCTGGGAGATGTCGAAAACATGTGGGTTTTCCCAAAAAAAAACGGAAGAAAAAAAAAGGACCAGGGCATCACAAGGCTCCCTATTGAGGATCATACTAGCCATAGTTTAAACTCCTTAAAGCGGGTTATTTGGGGGATTACATAATATAGGGTTTTGGGTTTTGGGTCTAAACTCCTTAAAGGGGGTTATACAGGGGAGTATATAGTGGATTATATTGGATTGGGAACTACCATAGGGGTTATTAGGGGGATGCTAGGAGTTTAGACTATGGCTCATATTACTACACAGTCACTGCTGTGGGCAACTTCCACATGAGTATTGACCAAGCAAGCACACGTAGGAAAGGATCCTTTCATGGGCTTACAATATCTTACAATGTTTCATGCTACGGAAACGGGTTGCCCTGTCTGGGTGGTAACAATGAGGATACTGAAGTTCGTCAACAACAGCTCCAGTCGCATCAGCGGTTACATGGCAAAGATCGAACCATCTGCATCAACTAACTCGCTGATAGTATCGGGTAAGATTCAGAAGTCTCCGAAGCAATGTTCATCATGTCAGGCTTCCGTGCGCTGACACAAAAACCAAAGAGCCAGCGAATTTGGCCGTTGAGTGCTCAAGATATCACCACACTCGAAGCTTCTCAAAATGAGGGTACCCTAGGGACCCCCAACAATACAGCGAAATTACAAGGGGATTATGGGTATCCCTGCTAAGGTTTCCAAAGCGAGAAGTACCCGTCCATGCTCTGTTGAGATCCGTGCTGTCCAGCGTCCTTTTCAAGGCCTTTCCACAGAAGCAGACACTCTGGGATCTCACCAGTAGGCACCAGATACCGGGGAATGCCTAAACAAGCAAACTCACGCACAACCTCAACAGAAAGCATGCATCATGTTCACTTGCCCCTAGGGTTTCTCAGGCTCGTCCCGCTTCCGAGGGACTATCCCTGGCTTGCGTGAGCTATTCTAAACTCCTAGTATCCCCTTGGTAAGCCCTATAATCCTCCTCGAAAAAGTCCCCTATATAACCCCCTCTAAGGAGTTTAGACTGTAGCTCACCTGATTTTACAGGCATGTCAGTCGCCGGCAAGCCAACACAAAATTTGCAACAGCATGCATGAGTGATGCGCAGACACATCTTCAGAGCGAGCTCCGAGCTGCCACCCATTTTGCGCGTGGCATCAGGCTACTACTACCCTATAGGCTATTGTTATTATGTCATACTAATACTGTTCTCATTTATGCTATGATTAGTATTAGACAAGCGTTGACCAACCTCGTTTATCAACAGAACCTCATGAATAGTTTTCAAAGAACAGCTGGCAAAACATCTTCATGAAGTCCATGAACAATGTTCTGAAAGTCCTTCTGCGGAGGTTCTCATACCCGAGCCTCAATCTTCAGCTTGATGTGCTCTTTCTCTGTTGTGGCCTGCAGGGCGAGACCCACTTGAAGAGTTGGACAGCGAAATTTTAGGAGAATAAATGGGACTTTCTCAAAATATCCCGCTCATTGTCTTAAAGAGGGCCTCTAATAGTCCCGTGATAGTCCCAATCGGGTACCACATACCCCCTTTTCCAGAAACCCCTGAATGAAGTTTGATTCTAGCGCTCGTGTCTCTAAGAATCCGTCCTGTGGATGGAATCTTGCAGCACCCAGCACACTTTCTGCTCTTGGCATGTGGTAAAGTTCCTCCATCCATTGTCTCACCACCACGTTGTAAAATCTATCTTACACAGATCCTTCTGGAGCTGTGCAAATATGGGTTTAGAGTCAGAGCTTCAACCACCCAAAACCACGAACCACCGCACCGATCCCTGAAGGCCTGCGAAGCCCTAAGCTGGATCGTCTGGTCCTTCCGTCGCATCTTCGGGTGTTGGGTTCGCTGCCATGCCGTGTTGGGATGCCGTGCTTGAAGAATTCAGGCGAACTCAACATGCTTCTTCAAAAGGCTCCTTCAAACATCAGTTTCTGAATTTAGCTCGAGACTTGCAAACTGAAACAAAGGTGAAACCTCAAATATGCTGCATGGCACAATTTGCAGTTTGTACAAGCGACAGCATACGTGCTGGCAGTGGCACGGTCCTCCATGGCCCACAGGCAAGCAGCCGGTAGCAGCTCCCTGAAACCCTGAAAGATGCAGAGGTATTTAGGCCTTGAAAGCCAGAATGATCGATGATGCTGGCAAGGTACATGTTTCATGTGTTCAAGAGGGCGATAACAAACAGGAAAGCTTTAGATCGCTGGGCCTTGAAGGCATTGGGTTTAGGGCTCAAGCTTACTTGCCCACGAATCTACCCACCATTCAATGAACTGATGCTCACTAACACCCTTCCTAGCACCACCACTACCCCAATAATCATATAAAACTCCTGCACTCAAACTACTAGCTGTTCTAGTGAGCGATTGATATGTGCCATGGCTTTCTGTATGGCTCCCTGAACTGAAGGACGCCCACCAACCATCCTCAGGACCCTTTTCGACACTCCCCCCCCCCCACAATAAAAGCCCTACCTCATATGCTCTTTGTTCTTCTGAGCCTTGTACAAGCTACGTGCTTTGGCTGCGAACCAAAAGAGGAGCATCCAACCAAAAGAGGAGCAACAAAGACAAGCGTGAGGCTGCGAATCACCTCCAAACCAGCTACTACTACTGGCGTTGATACTAAGAATTCTGCATGACCTTAGGATGCCACAATACTATATTTTCCATGGTATAAAGTGCTTAAGGTCATGCTGGATTCTTAGTATCCACCGTATGCCCGGATGTTTCAGTGACTTTGCCCTTGCAGGCTGGCAGTGCTCAGGGGCGACTAAGGTGAAACACGGTCAAGAATTATGACCACAGCTCATGGTGCACACACTCATGAGCGACTTTTCGGGAAATCATTCAAGTTTCAGTGCATTGTTCGGGCCCAATTCCACCGGGAGGGGTTACATTTATGCCGGTGGGCTCTGCACTTTGAGAACCCCCGCATTCGCGTGGTCCCCAAGCCCTTCAACCTGACACCTCATGCCCTAAACTTTGCATGAAGCTTTAGTTAGCGCGGGGTTCTCTCGCAATTATAGGTCGCTTTGCCATCACTGTACGAGACTAGGCTTTCGCCCTCAGCAATGCACCCGAGACAACTGCCTGGGCCGAAAACGGGTGTTGAATTCTAGGGTTGAGGCTTAAAGTCTCAGAGTAGCATTGAGCTTTAGTGGCGTGGACGGGGCATGCAGAACCCAACTAAGAAACCTGTCGCCCCAAAGGTGGGGGTGGCCAATGATTAATTATGTGTTCTTGAGCGAGGCTTATAGAACAAGAGCCCAAATACTTCAGAAGGTCTAGAATTGTTCTGTGTCAACATTCAAGTCCCTGCACTGTACGGAAGCCGTCATGTGCGTCCTCAGAGGAACCCTCCAAAATAGGGCCATGATGTTGGAGCAAATCCATATAAGCTGAGCTATCATCAACAGCAGGCTTACCAAGAAAGTGTTAAGGCAAGAAATGAAGTTCCTCACCGTAGTTGGGTTCCACAGTGGTCTAATGTTTGGCCAGCGCATGTCTGTATTCCCCATATATCAAGTACGGTTATATGAAGCACG